TCAGGGTACACCTGGGTCCATCATTAGTTCAAACACATTGTTTCTCAAATTGTTACAAAATAGCACAGTTTTTCAGTTACTACATAACATTTTCCACCTCGGATCTGGGATTCCTTAGTACTAAATGCAGGAAGCAAAGATGGAGCTTCTTTTTAAAAAAATATTTTATTATTATTTTTTATTTATGTGTATGAGTGTATTGCCTGCATGTGTGTAAATGCACCCATGTCATGCAATACCTGAGGAGTCAAAAGAGGGTGTTGGATTCCCTGGAACTGGAGTTACCGACAGTTGTGGACTGCCATATGGGTGCTGGGAATTGAACCCGGGACTTCTGCAAAAGGAGTTGCTTTCAGCTACTCAGCCATCTCTCCAGCCCCAGCTGGAGACTGAGCTCTACCTTCTTTTCCCCTTTGGCTGGCTTAGCACAATGGTTTGTTTCTCACTGCCTCAGAATGCATAGAGGGGAGAAACACTCAGAAATCCAGGACCCTTCTTTGTTGACACACTGTATCTTCAACTCCTGGGAGTCCCTAGGTTGCCCACAGGAGAGAGAAGGCCTGCCTTCTTTTTTCAGTGCGTATGAGTTTGTATCTGAATGTGTGTGTGTGTGTGTGTGTGTGTGTGTGTGTGTGTGTGCAGATGCTTTTCCAGTGCATGTATGTGCATACGTACATGGAAGTCCAAGTACAACTCTAGGTATGATTTCTCAGGAGCTGCCCGGCTCCTTTGAGACAGGGTCTCTCACCAATTAGACTGGTCTGGCTGGCCAGTGAGTCCCAGGGGTCCTCCTGCCTGCTTTTCTAGGACTGAGATTACAAGCACACACCACCACATCTGACAACTTTGTATGGGTTCTAGGGATTGAACTCAGGTCCTCATGCTTGGGGGGGGCAAGCACTATACCAACTGAGCCATCTCCCCAACCCAATGTACCTTCTTTAAGTAAGTTAATTTGCATATTTACCCCAAAGCAAGATAAGAATGTGAGGCAAGACACAACTGTGTCCCTAATACATGCACCTCAAAGAGCATGAGGTATAACTTGACTATGGGTCCTGGAGTCAGGCAGTCTTGGTTGGAACTACTTGGTCCCAAAGGCACATACAGCCTTGCACATAGCAGGTCACTGACCTATATTTGGTGAATTTAACAAATGAATTAAAAATAACACAATACACCCGGAATCTTGTCTTTACTGAGCCATGTGATTTTAATTGCAATCTATTCTAATTTTGCTAGTTTTCTAGTTTCCCTTGAGAATCACTTTAAAGAGAAGGCTGTGAAAGAAATAAAGGACTATGGGCCAAGTATAGGAAGTATAGCTTAGAAGTATTGTAAAGGACAAATTATTTAAAAGCATTCCCCTCATGGATGGGTGACTATCTGTTAAATGACACAAAAGAACTAGTAGACTAAGGTAGAAGAGGATGAAGCTGTGTGATAGAAAGTCATCATATCTCCCTTGTCTGTGCCCCTGGAAGCTCCTTTCCACAGCCCAGGCTTATAGTGATGGAAGGAAGATGACCCAAGCAAAGGCTTCAACGCACTGCACTTTCTCTTTTGAAAATGTTCTGAGATAGCCAAAGCTGGAGAAGCCCAGGAGGAAGGATCTTGGGCTGAGTGAGAGGTACTGCTGTCCCCACAGCTCAGGGAAGCTGCATGAGCAAGCTCAGATCAAGCTCAGATCAGTAGAATCTCTTAGCTCAACCACAAAATAATAAAAAGTAACAAATTGTCATTTCAGTCCAACCAAATGTTAGGAGTGTTTGTTATTCAAAGGTGCAGGAAAGAGGCACTGCCAGATGGCTCAGTTAATAAAGTGCTTGCTGTGCCAGCCTAAGGACTTGAATTTGGGTTCACAGCATCCATGTCAAAAGCCAGGAATGGCCAGATGTGGTGGTATTTGCCTTTAATCCCAGCACTCAGAAGGCAGAGACAGGCAGATCTCTATGAGATACAGGTTGGCCTAGTCTAAACAGCAAGTTCCAGGACAGTTGAGGCTACAGGGAGACCCTGTTTCACCAAAAAACAGAAGACAGGCATGGTGACACATGTCCATAATCCCAGTGCTGTGTAGGCAAAGATAGGGGAATCTCTGGGGTTTGCTGGTCAGCCAGCCTAGCTGAATCAATGAGTTCTAGGTTCAGTGAGAGGCCCTTCTCAAAAGAGGAGGAGGAGGGTGTGATAAAAGAAGGCACTCAACATCCACCTCTGGCTGCCACACGTGTGCACATACACATGCGTGCACATAGACCAACATGTATACGCACGCGTACACTAAAAGGTGAAGGAAAGCTATCTTTATTCAGTAAATCAAATCGTGACATTTAAAATAAAATGCAACAGAACTGACAGTTGCAAAGTGATTCACATCTTTAAAAAAAACTTTTAAAATCTTAAAAAGAATTTTGTTTATTATGTATGCATGCATGCTTGCATAAAACACCATGCCTGTGGAGGTCAGAAGACAACTTTGTGCAGTCAGCTCTTCTTTTACCTTTATATGGGGACCAAGCTCAGGTCACCAGGCTCCCTATGAGCTGTCTCAGTGGCCCAATAATTCACATGTTAAGTGCTGGTCATGTGGAGACACATGTCAGCAGAAGCAAGGTGTTCAATGAACTATCTCACACGTAGAGATGGGGACTCTCCACCCCTTCCACAAATCTTCCTGACTTGCATTGTAGGTAAGTTATTACACCCCCCCCACCCCAGCTCACTTTCTTTCCAACCTGTGTAGGTAGAAAAATGTTAGTCATTAAGTCTTCATTCTTTGCACAAAATATACTGTTTAAATGTTCCAAAGGGAAAACTTGTGTTTTATAAGCTACTAACCACCAAATACCCATATCTTAGGCCTTAATGTCATTAGAATAGACTTCAGAGGGACTAAAAAGCTGCTTCCTACTTGCTGTATAACGGCAGATCTCTCTTTATTTGGCAGGAGAAACCCTTAAAGTTGGAATGACGTTTGATCTAAGAAGCTAGATTTTCAGCAACTGATCTAATGAATGGAGCCCAAGGGCAGGATTCAAACACACAAGGAGCCACTGATAATTGAGGACTTGAAGAGGAGGACTGAGAAAGCTTAGCCTGAAAGCAGTGCGAGCTTGCCTCCCTGATCCCTGGTCACCCGGTCACTCGGTCACCCACCCGTACCTTTCATTAACCTAGTGCTGCTCAGTAACACCAGCTAGGCAGGAATCTGACAGGTCCCAGGGGAAAAGGGCTCACTCAGCTGCTGCCTCCAAGGGGTGACTCTGCTGGAATCTATGCCCGAAAGGGATTCAAATTCCTTCTTTTAGGGAGTGAACCCTTCCTAAGGCTTTTCATGTGAAGAGGAAAGTGACTGTGTTAAGATCAAAAGCATTCTGTATTTCAAAGATGTGTCCAGGCAACCATAAGCCTCTTTCTCTTCCCCTCCTTCTCTCCTTTTCTCTCCCCTTCCCTCCTCCCACCCCCCTTAGGTTCTTTCTCTTGTCATGAATACAATGAAGAAGCAAGAAGCCTACTTAAGTGCATCCTTTTTTAAAGCCTCAGCAGAGGCCACTTACTATTTCAGTGGATCCTAAAAAAGGATGTATTCATCATGACAAATCTGAGGGAAACTTGACTAACCACAGTAACAAACAGCATCTGTTAACACATAAAATCTGCCCAGATACTGTTTACTTCCCAGCATCTTGAGACCTCTGCATCAACCGGTGGAAACTGGATACAGCTTCCTGATTATAGGAATGTGCATCATTGATAGACATTTCTGGAAGAACACAGAATAATCATGAAAGCCTCTGTATATCAAAGGCCGACCACAATGTCACTGAGGTGATTTTCACTTCGATGCTGGTCCTTCTGTCAGCGCAAAGCTAAAGAGGTTCTGTGGTGGGTCACCGTTTCCTGGGATTACTTTGTAATGTTTCAGGGGTTCCTAGGGCATATTTCTTTTTTAAAAAATATTTTATTTATTATTTTTATGTGTATGAGTATACTGTCTGCATGTATGTAGGTGCGCTCATGTTATGCAATGCCCATGGAGGTCAGAAGAAGGTGTCAGATCCCCTGGAACTGGAGTTAACAAACATTTGTTAGCTGCCATATGGGTGCTGGGACTCGAACCTGGGTCCTCTGAAAGAACATCCAGTGCTCTTTACTACTGAGGCATCTCTTCAGCCCCTAAAATATATTTTTATTTATTATTTTTATTTTATATGTATGAGTGTTTTGTCTGCATGTATGTTAAGTGCACTTTGTGCATGTAATGTCTGTAGAATCCAGAAGAGGGTGTCAGAACTCCTGGAACTGGAGTTATGAACAGTTGTTAGCCACCATGTGGGCCCTGGGAACCGAACTGGGTCCTTTGGAAGAACAGCAAGTGTTCTTTTTTAAAAAATATTTTATTTTTGTTATTTTTACTTTATGTGTATAAGTGTATGGATTACAGGTGTGTAAGTGCACCCATGTATAAGGTCAGAGGAGGGCATTGGCTCCCCTGGAACTGGAGTTACAGATGGCTGTTAGGTGCCACATGGGTTCTGGGAACAGTACCCAGGTCCTCTGCAAGAGCAGCCAGTGCTCTTAACCACTGAGGCATCTCTCTAGCCCCTCAGGGCATATTTCTTGAACTGATGCTAAAACTCATTTCAGAACAGGTCATGCTATCCCACTGATGTCATGAATGGTCTCTGGAGTAGTGGTTTGCAGTGCTGCAACCATATTTGTATGTGTAAATTTGCTCCCAGATTAAAAAAACCTGCCACTTAGAGATACATTTGTCTGGCTTCTGAGTTGCCTCATTCACTCATTCATTTGCAAGCTCTTCCTATATACTGATTTCTAGACGCTACTGAAGTTATAAAAGGTTATCAAAGATTACAGGCCAGATGGAAGCCTAGGTGCTCTGAAGTGAAGAACAGAGCAGACATTTTTAAGGAACGTGATAATCATGGGGAGGTTGGGGGAGGGGTCTTCCCTCATCATGGCCATCTTCTGCTCGTTACCTTGCCCTGATGGGTTGCGATCCGAGTCTGGGTCCCAGAGCACTGCCATTCCCAGGAGAGTTCTTTCTGGCTAATGCTGGGGATATAGAAGTTGTTCTTTGAGGCACCTGGAAGAAAACCAGAATACAAAAATACACACAGTGTTTATAGGCTATTGTCTGACCCTTCTACTCCTTTTCCAAAGACTGGCCAGAAGTCAAACTCCCTGATATATGAAAGAATTATCTTTGGCTCTTCAAAGAAATACTAAATTCTGTAAAATCAAATGATGATCTACTGGCCAAAGTTAATGAGGGAGCTTCATCAACCATTGACGTCATTTGGTCTTGAAAACAAATTAAAAGACAGATTATACTGATAACTTCAACTTACTGAGTTAGGAGAAATTAACCATTCTTGTTTGGGCGAGAGTGGTAGATGTGAGAAACCTCTTTGGAGTGCCCTTACTTCACTGGAAACTGTATTAGATGGGAAGTACCCAGAGAAACCCACATTCCATTCTAGTTCATACCACAAGGAGGAAACAGATCACGAAATTAGGTGAGAAAATGGGATGTCAAGCTAGACCTTGGGGCATAAGTCATATGTTGGTGGACCCAGAGAATCTATTACTCTTTTCATTTATTTTAATTTTTTGTGTATGTGTGAGTGCCTGCATTTATGCATGTGCACCATGTGTGCATAGTGTCTGCAAAGACCAGAAGAGCGTGTTGGATTTCCTGGAGTTACAAAGACTTTTGAGCATCCCAGTGTAGGCGCTGGGAACCGAACCTGGGTCCTCTGCAAGAGCAACAAATACTCTTAACTGCTGACCCATCTTTCGAGTCCCTACTGCTCATATAATAAATATGAAGACATCTGGGTATTTTTACCTTATAATCAACTTGCTATTAGTAATTAAAATCCTAAAACCCAAATATTATGCTTTAGTGATTAATTAATAACTGCTATATAAAACAGAATTAATATGAAAATGCTGGAAAAGTCTTTAAAAAGCCTGTGTGAGCACCAGTAAGACCATGAGGCACAGCAGAAAACTATTTAATAATGCTTAGCTAGGAAAAGGCCAAAGTAGAATTCAAATATATCTCCTTTTATGAAATATACAGACACTTGCTTATGAAATCAAATATAAATGTACCACAGGAGTACATTACTTAAAAGAAGCTCATTAAGAATATTATTATAGAAAATTACTTTCAATGTGTCATTTTTATCTACTTCAAGAAAATACTTTTATTATAAGTCATTTTAACATACGGACCAGTCAAGGAAGCAAAAAAGAGTGATCAAATTGATTCTAACACCTGTGCAAACTAAACATTACTACTTCTGCTTTTTCTTTTTGTAAACATTAAGATTTTTGAAGAGCCGAATTAATGATTAAATATTAACCTAAAGTTTCCTCCCAGCTATACACACATCTGTCCATATCCCTTCAGAGGGTGGACCAACCGTTTCCACTTTCACGTCCTCGGCTCTTGTGTACAACTCATTTTACACCCGAACTTTGCTTCTGAGTAAACTTTTTTGATGGGATTTTAGATGCCACAAAAGGATCCCAACATGAAACCATCATCACTATTTCATTATCAAAATATTGGCAATCCTGCTGTACTACCCTTTGAGAAATGAAAAATATTTGTCAGTCATTTGAAACTATTTTTTAAAGTAAATAATAACATTTTTTATGGTAACTACAGGACATTCCACGGGTCACAGCTTCCTATGCTGAGCTTGGGAGAAGAGAGATTCGTGAACCAGGAAGAATTTGGTGTAAAAATATCTTCAGTATGTTTTATGGAATACAGAACATGTATTCCATAACACTGCTTGGAACAAATAATAGCTGAGTGTAGGAAAACAAGACAGAAGAACTCAAGACCATTTTAAAAAGTAGAAAAACTAATCATTTGACCTAAAAGTTTAGTCCTTAATAATTAAGGCTGGAAATATATTATGAAAGCCTAGAAAGGGCAATCGTTAGGTGGAACCAACTGAAATGTCCTGAAAGAAAGACCATTTTGTATGTATATGTGTGTGTGAATATGTGTTCATGTGTGTGCATGTGTGTGAGGGTGCATGTGTGTGTGTGTGAGTGCGTGTGTGTGCGTGTGTGTCTGTGTGTGAGTGTGTGCATGTGTGTGTCTGTGTGTGTGTCTGTGCGTGTCTGTGCGTGTGTGTGTCTGTGTGTCTGTGTGTGTGTCGTGTCTGTGTGTCATGTGTGTGTGTCTGTGCGTGTCTGTGCATGTGTTTGTGTGTGTGTGTGTGTGTGTCTGTGTGTTGTGTGTGTGTGTGTGTCTGTGCGTGCGTGTCTGTGTGTGTGTGTCTGTGTGTGTGTGTCTCCCAGAGGTCAATGGGGACCAGAGTGAAACCATGTCTTCCAGACATGAAAGGACTGCTGCACTCAGGAACTCACAGCAGCTGTGGCTGCTGCACAAGACCTGCACAAGATCAAGCCAGCCGACATTCCAGCTGGAAGAGGGAGGGGATCACCAGCCCCCAACACTAGCCAAAGAGCTATTGACAGTTGATGACTTCTAGGAAAGGGAGAGTCAGTTTTCTATAACGGTGTGGTAGGTTGACCACGCTCCAGTAGACGGCCCCACATGCATGAGTATATGGGCAGCACAAAGTGGACTTACTTGTAAAAGAGAGTGAGAGCATAAAATTGATGTGGGTGGAGGTAGATCAGAGAGGTGCTGGGGCGGGAGCAGGGATGAGTATGATCAAAATACATTATATGCATGCATTAATTTCAGAGAATTAATTAAAATAATATACCCTTTTAAAAAGTAATGAAAATGTGATCCAAAAATACCCTGTATGAGAAAAGGAAGGAAAATATAACCCTCTCTAATCACTCCAGAGGTGCAGGAGTGGGCCACAATGCCGGAAGCAAACAAAACAAGAACATAGTTCTGCTTGCTGATTTGAAAGGGCCTGGGATTTTCAAAATGTATAAAGCTGTGAAGGAAAAGGAGCTAATGTGTATTGAACTCGATTATGAGTCAAGTGCTCTCCATTCTCGCTTGCCTGTAACAGATAATGGTGCCTCATTTCCACAATTTACTCTCTAATTGCTCCTCTCCCTCTCATCGGCTCTATGAAATAGATATAATCCCCAGTTTACAAATGAAGAAAAAAATGAAATTTAAAGAGAGGTCAAGTAATTTACTGAAGAGATCCTCTAAGTGGGAGAGCTGGAGCTAAAGTAAAAATATCTCAGACTCCAGAGCCACTCTTAAGACTCCCGACACCCTGGTAATGTGATAGGGATTTTTTTCTATTAAAATTTTCCCAGAATTGAGAAAAGGCAGTGACTCTTTCTCTGAAGAAGCTCAAATTCATATCATGAGTATGCAGTGTCTTTTTCCTAAGCACCTATTTTTTTTAATTTCCATGCTTATGTCTTCAGTAAAACTGATTTTTAATAATCTCCAACTTTGCTTTCAAAAAAGCATTAAGAAGGGCTGGAGAGTTGGCTCAGCAATTAAGAACACTGGCTGCTCTTGCAGAGTACCTGGGTTCAGTTCCCAGAACCCACATGACGGCCAATAACCATTCCATATAACTCCAATTCCAGGGGACCTGGTGCCTTCTTCTGGTCTCCAGGGACATTGAACAACATGGGTACACTTACATACACTCGGGCAAAGCACTCATACACATAAAAATAAAAATAAGAAATAAAATATTAAAAATATAATAAAAAAAGAGAAATGATAAATGCCAATCAAAGATTTAGCTTGGAATTGAGGAGAGACGTTGACAAATGTGAGCAGTAAAGTGTTTTAGCAGGATTGCTCTCTCCAAACTATGAAAGGGACAGAACAGTGGTGGTCTAAACAGTGATGGTTGTGAAAACCCAGCAGCAGTAAGCCTACCTTTGGTGGAATGTCTTCTTCCTGTCGTAACCAAGAGCTTCGGTCAAACTTCTCGATGCGAGTCGGGAGAGGAGGGTTTTCCGAGGTGGGATCCGAGTTCTGGCGAGGCATCTCCACGCGGTGAGAGGTCACATTCAGAGCTTCCTGGAACCCAGACAGGCCCTTTGTGGGTTGCTCGTGCACGGACTGGGAGGCGGTCAAGGCAGGTCCCTGGGATTTTACAGCTACCAGCTGTGGGATCTAAGCACAGACACAGGGCAGCATCATTGGAAGCTGATCCGTCGAAGGAACGAAAAGTAAAAATCGGATGGCAGAGCCCAACACAGCTATGAACTGGACATGCTTCAGTGAGCAATAACAGTACTTGGAATAACCCCCATTGGCTACGATACTGCTGTTATACAAGGCTGTACAGCACATATGACTCTCCAGAACCTTCTATTTAGGCCAATATGTAGGGCTAATACAGGGATCCTAGCAACAGTTACATGGAGTAGTTCAATGGTAAAAACAAAAACTAAATTTACTGAACATTTCCTGCCAAGCAACACAATAGATTTTATAAGCTAGCATAGGCTCCTTCCTTTAAAATCCTTAGCTTTGACCTTGGAGTACTACTGTTCTTTGAAAGAAGAACTGCTCCATGTATCTTTCCTTGTGAACTCACCAAGTCCACTGTGGAGTGGAAGCATCCGTTCTCTGTATTACATACATGAGCAATGCAAGGTGCCGAGATACTAAACCACAGGCTGGATTGCACTGGACTACACTGGAACCAAGTGTTCTACCTTCATATCCCCGATGTGTAATGACTGTAGTGTAGTCCTCTTTTTTTTTTGTTTCCGTGTGTGTGTCTGTGTCTGTGTGTCTGTGTCTGTGTGTACAGGTACACATGCATATGTGGAGGTCAAAGAGCAACCTCAGCCGTTGTTCACTACATATATTTGGTCTTTTTGAGACAGGGTTTCGCTGTAGCCCCAGCTGGCCTGGAACTCACAGAGATCCACCTGCCTCTGCCTCCTGAGTGCTAGGATTAAAGGCGTGTGCCACCACACCTGGCTTCCACTTTATATTTTTAAGACAGGATCTCTTGCTTTGCCAGTTCAGCCAGACTGGCAGGCCAGTGATCCACAGGGATCCTGTCTCTACTTCCCTAGTGCTGGGATTACCAGAATGCACCAGCATGTCTGGCTTTTTTATGTGGGTTTTGGGATTTGAACTCAGGTCTTTGCATGACAAACATGCTACTAACTGAGCCATCTATTTAGCCTCTGTAGTGTGGGGGCTGACCGTCACTGAGAATATTAGCTATCTCTTGATATCAGGGCATTTCTTGTAGAGTTGTAAGTCTCACAACTGGATAGGTAATACTCTGTTCATGCAGTGACGACTTATAGGTTTTCATGTGGGCCTTTAAGGGAAATCACCAAAACCCAGGGTTGGAAACAGTGCGGCTCACACATCAGTGTTTCGTGACTCCTGAAGTCAGTCCTCCTACCTCAGGATCAGGTCTTGCTCATTATTAGAACCTGAGTCCATCCTTGGAACTGGCCTGCAGTCAGGAGATGTTGGCTGGAAAAAGAAATCTAGAGTGCTTTCTAAATTAAACTGTTAATTGAACCAGGATTGGTTTACTACCTGCTTTGCACAAGGACCCGCCAAACACTCTTTGGTCTGCACTTTCAGTTGGGAGGTTATCAATGACTGGACTAGAGCTCATAAAGTTCATACTAATGTAAAGATCATTAAATACATTCAATAACATTAAAGCAAAGCAGATTAAAAATACCCAGCACCAAACACAAAATCACTTTAAGAGAACTTCCCAAGTTCCCCTAAAAACCCAATGAAGAATTCTATCACAGAAAATCTGTGCCTCCACTTCCTAGTCACTTTCAGAATGTGAGTTTCCCCTGATGTTTCCCCTTTGATAGGGCAAAGGTACCTTATAAGGTCAAAGTACGAGTTTTGAAAGAAGAGAGGTTCTTGTAAATGTACCCTTTTGAGGGTCAGCATGAAAGAATTGTATATAGATTAAAAACAACCAAGGGGAAGATGTGCTAAGCTGCCTGCCACTGAAAAATTCATGGATCGTTCTCATTACTGCCAACTTAAAACATAAAGAAGCCTTGATTTGATCACTATTTTTTAAAGCTCCAGTTCAAACAACAGTAAATATTTCAAAGGTGAAGTCAAAATACGCTAGAGAAGCTTAACCACATCTGGATGCCTGGAAGAAATTTAAGATGCTTGCATGAGGAAGGTTACGTTACTTTTATTTTTTTATAGAATTTCCATATTCTATTTCACTTCTAATTCAATATGCATAAAATATATAAATCATGTATTATATTTAATATATATAATTTATATGTAATTATATATCATTTATATACATATAATTTAAAAGTCTTGCAGAACTACCAGAAATAATCTTTCCTAAAAGCAAAATAATCTCTCTTCAGCAAACAGCTTCACAATCTTGTTTGTTAGACTTGGAAGGGCTGCCAGCTGCCCCCCTTCCCCGCCCCCCCCGGCCCAAGTATTTTTAAGTTTTGTAACTATAACTAAAAGGATGCCTGTCCCCATCTTGAAGAAATTTTCGAGAGTCTCCAGAAGAGCCAGTTTATCAAGAAATGACTTTGTGGTTGACTTAGAGTTAAGAATAGTGAATTTTGCTTTCTTTTTTCTCTAGCATCCCAATTGAGAGGGACTTCTTATATTAACATGAATTCAACATTAAGGGTCTTCACTGTAGGTATAGAATTATGTCTGAACCCAGGTTACAATATTCTAGATTTTTTAGTAAGTTTTCTTGGGCATGAATGCCCACTGAAATAGAGGCAAGATTATACCTGGGGGTCAACAGGTCTGAGCATTGGGGGTGTCCGAGCAGGCTGAACCCCACTAATGCTGAAGGACTCCGACCTAGGGGGCAGGTTGGGGTCGGATATCCTGTTGGCAACCTTGTGAGGCATGGCAGGTGAACTCTGCCGGTTGAGTCTTGAACGTTCTTCTACCTAGAAGTCAAAGGAAGAGAGCTTCAGTGGTTACAAGTCAGCGCCTTTCCCAGTAAGGATTTTCTGTGGTCATCTGTACAACCAAGTTTGTGTCACTCTGTTCAGTTCAGAGCCTAAACTTTCCATTTCTGTTCAGCATCAAGAATTTACAAAAAGCCTGGTCTCTGTCCTCTCTGATTCCTTCCCTCCCTCCTCCCCCGCTCCCTCCTCCCTTCTTCCCTTAGAAACACTTCTAATAAACAAAGGAATGCAGGACACTTGAGGCATTGTCCTTCCATTGCCCACAATCTTGTGCTGTTTCAGTTAGCTGGGAATTCGGGCCTGCATTCCAGATCATCAGAGGGAACTGCAGTAGGCACTGAGAGTGCTGGGGCGGGGGGATGGATAGAAACTGGCTTTGGGTTGACTCATGGGACAAGGGGGAAGAGCCATATGCTCAAGGGCTGGCAGGAGGGAGCGGTGGCACGCAGGAGCTCTGCCCAGGCACGTGGGCGTCCTGGCTGCTGCTAATGACATGGCCTGTCCTACACTGACTTCCTGTATCATTTTCTTTTTCTCTTTAGGGCTCTTCCCTTTCAGTTGTCTCTCCCTGCTCCCTAAAATACACGGCTCCTCCCCATCCCTTCTGTTCCCGGCATGTACTCCACTGCCCTACTCCCCATTTCTTCCGTGCTTCACACACAGCATTCAGCCTTTCTCCTCTCCTTTTCTCCCTCCCACCCTCTCGCTTCTCAGGCCCTTTTATTTCCTTATCATGCCTTATTTTCCAGGGTCCCCCTTAGCCCAAGCACCTCCCAGGTCAGGCTCACAGAACCAGTGACTCTTTGCAGACAGGTAAGTCACTATCTGCCGGTCTGTATTTGTGGCAGCAGATGGACTGTTGCCAAGGATGACTTTAAAGAGAAAGTTAAATTAACAAGATAGCTAGACATTGAAAGACAAGATGGAAGACCTTAGTCAGCTCCAAGAGAGCTAAAATTTTGTTCTTGATTCATCTTGCCTTGTCCCATATTATATTTCTTTAGGGTTAAGTTGCTGGTTGTGCCTCCCAAACCCATAAGGCCAAACTCTCCCCACTCCAATGACCCATCAGAGTGAATTCTTAATTCACTTCTGTTGACTCAATATTCAGGTCTGTCTGCACATTTTTACATAGCGGCTAAGGGCTTTATTCATTTTGATGCCAGATTTAAAACAAAAATTCAAAAATATTTTCCTTTCTCATGCTGCCTACCCTGTTTTGAATCTTTCTATTGACACATTCAGTTTCCTATTCATAGTAAGTGTGTTTTAGCCTCAAACATTTAAACAGGCTAAGATAAGTCACAGATTAGGGAATAGTCATCCTGTCTCTATGAGGGGTAATTTGGACATCTCATCTCTCACTGTCTTTGCTGGGTATTGGCTTCCTATTGACTTTGGTTTCGAAATCCCATGTTCTAGAAATTCACCACACACCAAATAATATTAGCTACAAAAGGCCAGGAATGTAAATGAGAGTATGCATAATTTATGTGTGTGCATGTGCAAAGTATTACATCAGCAATAATTATCGGACTAGCATACTGAGCAGAAGAACAAAGCCAGCTTTTGTGACAAGACCAAAAAGGTGAAGAAGTCCCAAGGAAACAGCAACTAATAAACCAAGAGCAACATACTGCTTCCAAATGCCACACTGTTCCAGAAGATGACTGTTCTTAGACTACTGGAACTGGGTAAATATTCACCATTTTCTTATTTTCAGGGAATATTTTAATAAAGTACGCTTTATACCTAAACTCCACTGTCTAAGCCACTGATGTGTAAGTTCAGGAATACCAGAGATCAGATACACATCAGAGAGACACCTGGCTTTCTACACACCAGCAACCTGTTTGGTATGCAAACTCCGGGTGTATTGGCGGTATAGTAATGCATGTAGTTGCTTTCCACACTTAGGGACCAAATATATTCAGAGTGAGGAATATTTTTAATATTATTAATTTTAACAGTCAAATACTCTCAGCTTTAAATGCACACCAAAATGAAGCGTATTAAAAAAATAACTGTAAAGCCTAGTTCAAAGACCCCATCTTGAGCAAAGAAATACTTTAAAAAATATTTTATTATTTTTATTTTATGTGTAGGAGTATATTGCCTGCATATATGTAAGTACACGTATGTCATGCAATGCCTGTGGAGGACAGAAGAGAGTGTTGGATCCCCTGGAACTGGAGTTACAGATGGTTGTTAGCCGCCATGTGGGTGCTGGGAATCAAACCCGGGTCCTCGGCAAGAGCACCCAGTGCTCTTAACCACTGAGCCATCTCTCCAGCCCCAGAAATACTTTATGTAAGATAACAAATGATTTTGGCAATTGAAAGCAACAAGTCTTCTGTACAGCAAGTGTTCCTGACAGGGCTGTAGGTCCTAAGCTGTTGGTAGAAAAAAGCAGGGCAGGAAGTGGTTGCCGATTTTCATGGGTAACTAGTGAGTTTGATTAGCATGTGCAGAGGTTACTAACGAATTCCTGAAGCCTCCTATGTTTCCCATCAATTCACACACTAGAGTCTACCATTAGCATGGCTCAGTCTGCAAGATTCTACATTATCTGGTACAAGTGACTGATACTGAATCAATGATGTCAGGGTCAGTCCAATCTGCTGAAATTTCCTGGATAGACGTTTGGGCAAAGATACTAGAAAATCCATTGTAGCAAAGAAGCAACTGGATATACTGTTTAAAAATTTGCATTTTATTTATTTATTTGTTGTTTATTTATTTGTGTGTGTACTCACAAGTGCATGCATGTAGATAGACATAGAGGTCAGAGGACAACTCGTGGGAGTTAGCTTTCTCCTTCTACTATGTGAGTTCTGGGGATTGAACTCAGGTTGTTAGGCTTGGCAGCAAGCATCCTTACCATCTTGCTGGCCCTGACTACATTTTTTGTCTCAAGGAAACCTTGTCCTAAAGCCTTCAGGAAGATTAGGCTCAAGGTGCTTTGCCAAATGCTTTGTACCAGTTTTTCCTTTAAGTACTGGAGGAAAGCTATCAGATCAGCGCTAGAAATGGCACCTTACAGGGAGATCCTTCTGAGTACTTGATACCAGCAAAGAATTGTTTCCTGTTTGATGACAACTTATGTCCACTAACTGGTTCTTAGCAGCCATGTGGGTTCTGGGAACCAAACCTGGGTCCTCTGTAAGAGCGGCCAGCACTCTTAACCACTGAGCCATCTCTCAAGCCCTAGATATATGAACTTTTTAAAGTCTAATGAGCCAATGGAAAATAAAGAGATATCGTGGTCTTCTTCAGATTATTGTTTGTCCAATAAAACTATAGCCAGGTGACTGGTATGCACTGCAGACAGAGAGCATACATGATGGAGGATTAAAATTAAAAGACAATTTTATGCAACACTTCGGTAAGCACATCATTCTGCCTCTGCTGTATCCTGGTGCAATTAAGAAATGAAACTATTTGGGCGTTAAAGGGCAGAAAAGAATTATTATGAGACATAGACCATCACATGACATCTTAGGGTACATGAGAAAGAAAAAGAAATTTCTATCATCCAAAAGGCAAGAAATGGACACTTAAATTCTGCTGTGGTCAACATACCATTCCACTGCTTTCACAGAGCTAATTTGACTTCCATCCAAATTAAGAAATAGTGGGCAAATTTGAAAGGGATGGGCATGCTTCCTTAGTCTTTGAATGCAGAGATCTCAGGGCTCATCTTGGGCTGAAATCTGAAAATCAAAGCCCTGCCCCATCAAAGCCCAACAGAATACTCAGTAGGAGGGAAGCGTTCTGCAAGAAGCTCAAAGATCAAGCATTTCCATGTGTTCTTCTGCATCCAACTGATTCATGAGAAGGGCAGTGACAACTGCAATGAACACTTCTGCATTTTATAATGATGATGGGAAAACTCAGTGGGGCTGGTGAGGCTTCACTATCAGTAAAAGCACTTGCAGCACCAACATGAGGATCTGAGTTCAAATCCCTAGTACCATGTAAAAAGCTTAGTGTGGCCATGTGTGCCCGTAACGCCAGCACTGGGTGGGGGTGGGGGGCCTGAGACAGGAGGATTGCCACAGCTTGTTGGCTGCCAGGAGAGATGGATGGAAGAGGAATCAGCATAGGGGAGAAAAGGTAAAAAGAAAGGACAGAGGTGGAGCACAAGAGGCTGCAATGACCAGAGGATGGATAGGTGGTATCTTCCTTGGCACTTGGGGCAAAGAAAATCTTGATTCCGTATTACAGGGACACTGGCCTGGATACAGCTGCTTATTTTTCCTTGGTGAGGATGTTTTCAAATTTAGAAACTGGTAGAGGAGGCATTGGAAAAAGAAAAAGTACCTTTTAATTCTACCTCTGGAGAATTTAACACAGGTTTCCTTATTTGATGGTTAAGATACTGATAAGCTATAAACTCTGTTCAAATATAGAGTTTTGAAACAAATGTCCCTGGCCACTTTGAGCCCCCAACTTCCTCCATAGTATAAAATACATCTACATAACACTTTAGAAAATTTCCTACATTGTTCATAAAAAGTATTAAAAGATCAAGAGCATAAGGGGCCTGACACTCAGTTTTATGCCATTTTAAGAAGTGTTAAAAATGATAAATCAAACCAAGACAGATATTTTCTGTGTTATCACTCCTTTATCATCTTAATATTTTATCTTTCTTATAAAGTATAATCTCTCACTTTAAGATTTGGGAACTGGTTTCATATGCTTAAAGATGCTGGACTATGCTAACGACATACCGGAAGAGGAAGCTAAACACTAAATCACCACAGAATGGCCCTGCACGTCTGGAAGTGCATGAGGCTCCAAGAAGCACAGTGGTTCTATTTAGTTGGAAGAGAGGTGGGTTATGAAGAGGTTGCAATCTTGGAAGATGTCACCCACCACAGGTGGCCCAGACTTATGGTGGCCAGAGACCTTTACGTCTGGCATACTTGATGACGCAGATATACTGCTTGCATGCCCAACTGCTAGGGTTCTTTTAGTGCTAAGATTCTGCCTGGGAAACATAGGCAGTTGGGAGATCTAGAATACCGCCTCAATGATGTCTGCACAGATTTGTCCTCAGGAACTTCAGGGCTTCTGAGAACCTAAGAATTGTGAACTGATTTTGAGTAGAGAGGACAGGTCAGGAAATTTAATGATGAGGACAGACAGATACCAGAAAACAATGAAGTCAAGGCAGATAAGTTCAAGTCAGATCAGGCTGGGTAAAAGCTGATGGAAAGATGTGGAAACTGTACCATGCTTTCCCTGGCATATTTTTACACAAGAGAGTTAGTTCATCGATGGAAAAAAAGGGATTCTGGGATGATTTACAAGGAATTTTGGGATCTTCAGGGGTTCTATCCCTAAACTCATGTGGGAATCTGGGAAAACTGAAGGCCAGGTGGTTGTGTATGAAAAAGAGGTGATTTAGAGATGTGACACTTCTTAGAAGAGTTGAGACACTAGGAAAAACATGAGCTCATCTCTTCTGGCCTGTGGTGCATGTGAGTCTCTAATGTCCTTCATCTTAGGCCTAATGGTAAAGGAGGGGGCTTTTCACTTTGAAGATGCTGGGAGAGGACACACAAATGATGTTAGAGCCTCACTCCTGAATTGGGCTTACATTCTTGAGAATGAGATCTCAGATGCTCTCACTTTTTTTTTTTTTTTGGTCTTTTTGAGACAGGGTCTCCCTGTAGCCTCATCTGGCTTAGAACTCGCTATGTAGACCAGGCTGGCCTTGAACTCACAAAGATCTGCCTGCCTTTGCTTCCCAAGAGCTGGGATTAAAGGCGTGTGCTACCACACCTGGTTTATCTCACTTTAATCCTTACAGCTTCCTGAGGCTTCAGTTGTCTTCCAAACCAGAAATAATGGGACAAGCAGGTGCATCTTCTTCCCCACCTGAGTGATGCTCAGACAGGAGTCTTGATCTACAGTTGTCAACTGCTGTGGATGGTAATGGCATTATCTTTGTGGAGGCCAGCTTTTTAGCATTCTGAACAGCTGTGTGGGCAAGAGATATGTGTCTGGCTTAGCTGAGGATTTCAACCCAATGTGGCTAGGAAACGGCTAAGCAGTAGAGGAAGACAGTGCATCTCTGCCAGCCAGGAAGCAACCCAGCTGGTGTTTAACACAGTTAACACTGTGCTTCTGCTTAGTTGAAAGAGAGGTGGATTATTAAGGGATTATGATTTTTAATCTTGATTGTCAACTTGGTGGGATTTAGAATCACCATGGAAACAAATCTCTGGGTGTATCTGTACAGGATTATCTAAATTAAGGTAACTGAGTTGGGAAGCCCTAACCCACATGTGGAGGGTATAATTCCATGGGCCGGGGTTCCAGACTGAATGAAAGGAGAAAGCGAGCTGGGCACAGGCATTCATCTCTCTACTTCTTGCATGTGAACACAAATCTGCCTCCTGCTCTTATTGCCCCATGTCATCCCTGCTGTGATGGGCTGTGAGCCACAGTAAACACTTCCTGCCTTAGGGTGCCTTTGACAGGTGTTTTGTCACAGCAACGAGACCAGGGACTAATAGAGGGGTCAATACTGTGTCTTGGAGGAGAATCACAAAACGGATCATTGATCTCAGAAAAACAGGCAGCAGTTCTAGACAGAGGCAAATACAGACCATGTTTATAGACTTAAAGGAAAGTGATTGAAAATGTTCCTTACCTCAAATCAAGATTATTTTCTCTATAGACTTTTTTTTTTTTTTGTCTTTTTGAGACAGGGTCTCTCTGTAGCCCCAGCTGTCCTAGAACTCACTATGTAGACCAGGCTGGCCTCAATCTTGCAGAGAGTTGCCTGCTTCTGCCTCCCCAGTGCTGGAATTAAAGGCATGTTCTGCCATACCCTTCTCCATCTTGTGTTTTTGAGAGCGAATCTCTCACTGGGACCTGATGCTCACTGATTAGGCTATATTGGCTGGTCAGTGTGCCCCAGGGATCCTCCCATCTCCACTGCCCCCCAATAAGCCTCAATTTTTATGTGGGTGCTGGGAATTGCACTCTGGTCCTTGTGCTTATAAGTATTTTAATGACCAGGTCATCTCCCTAGTCCATCCAAATAGATTCTTGTAAAGAAAATGATTTTTCTTCTTGCTCTTCGCTACAAATATCCACTATACATTCAAAGGTACACAAGAAAAACACCATACATGACATCAGGTGCATTGCTATTTCTCTGCAGAAACGACATTACGGTTCATTCAGAAGCAAAATGTGGGTCCTCTGATGGGCTGTTTCGAGCTTTATGGCACTAGCTGGACTTTCCATTCCCACTGGACAATCTCGCATAGGGAAGAACCAGGCTGACTGACTCAGCCCCTCTTCCTTCCTCACCTCTTTGGCCCATGCAGGCTTCTCACTGGGACTCATCCCCTCTTTGTAATGATAGAGCGGCTTCTTCTCCATGGGCCTCTGCTCCTGCCGCTGGTGCTGGAGGGAAACCAGATAGTCTCTCTCTTGCTTTAGTTGTCTCTGCAGTCTTTCTGCTTGTCTCTGTTCTTCCAGTTGTTTGCGCTTATATTCCTACCCAGGGCAGGAAGAAAGAGCAAAGAAAAAGCCATGTCACCACTGGGTACCACATTACCACATTGAGCAAAGCATGCAATGGAGGCAAAATGGAGCCAAAAATAAAGAACTTCACATGCTAACTAGGACTCCTGAAAGGACAAGAAGTGCACTACAAGAAGCCCAAGCCCTGTGTTAGTGTCCATACTGGAATGTGTCGCTTAATGAAAACACTATTGCTTTAATGGCAGTCCCTACAGAACACCACCACTTGCAAAGGGATGTGTCCTGTGCGGACTGTGGGATGATCACAACATAACATCTGGAAGGAATCATCCACGCCCTAACAGTAATTTAATCATTCAAACATATGTGATTGATCCAGGTGTGGTGGTGCATGCCTTTTAATCCCAGCACTCAGGAGGCAGAGGGAAGGTGGATTCCTGTGAGATTGGGGCCAGCCTGGTCTACATAGTAAATTCTAGGTCAGCTGGGGCTACAGGGAGATTCTGTCTCAAAAAGACCAACCAACCAACAAACAAACATATGTGATTGAGTATACAACTAAACAGCCAGAGCGTATAAAACCACCTTTTCTTTGATAAAACTTGGACCAACTAAAGCTATCCATGAGTTTATATACAAACTAAATAATAATAATAATAATAATAACAGAATGTCACTGAATGAAAAATTCAATTAAAAATAAAAAAAAAAGATACACTAAGATAACCCATTTGGAGAGCAATGCAGTAGTAATAAAAGTTCTTCAAATAGATGCTGTGTGAGTAGGGTACACCAAATGTTCCCATCTTAAGGGCAGAACTAATCGCCTACAGATGAGGGACGACTGCAGAGCTGAGTGGGTCCTTCTGGCCAAGGTGCATTTTGCTGTGATTGGATTTCAGCATGCTGTAAATGGTCTTAAAAATTACTCTGCAATAAACACAGTGGGTCTTAAAAGCAGTTTAAACTTATAATAAGGCTGAATTCATGTTAAAGTTTCACAAATAAATGGAATTAATAAAATGTGATAAATGGATGAGGAAGTTTCTAGGAGATTCTGAGGTCTAGGAGGTTGGGGATAGGGAAGACCCCAGCCTTTGAACTGGAACATTAAGAGGAGGAAACACACACACACACACACACACACACACACACACACAAACAAGTACACACATGCACACATGCGCACACACATAAAAACAAGCACACACATGCATACACGCACATACACACACGTATACACACATAAACAAGCGCACACACACACACACACACACACAGAGGCAGGCAGGATGAACACCAGGCAGGTCAGTGGGTGTGTGGCTTTCCCATTACCAGAAGTAGAGCTTGTTCATGCAGTAGCTGTTGCTGTAAGATCTCTAACTGTCTCTGCTCCTCCTCTAACTGTCGCCTGATGTATTCCTGGGGAGGCAGGCAGCACAGAAATTGGAGGAACGGAAAGAGAGAAAGAGAGAGAAAAAGAACCAGTAATTGCAAGGTGACAAGAGCTTCCAAGTGAAGTGCAGGCGAAAGGAAGGGAATAAAACAAAACAAAACACCCGACACCTCGGAATAGGAAGAGTAGGCCACAGCAAAGCCAAGCCTTTCAATGCAGTCAAAAGCACAGTCCCTTTGCCTGCAGCCGCTGACTGAGATGGCCTGGCATTTCGCTGTCACTACTGGGTTTTAATGAGACCAGCTCCATGGTAAAGAATGTCGTTAGACTCCTCTCTTTGTGGACTTGTGGAATTAATGCTATGAGGTTCCCAGGCTCTGTACAAGAGGCAGAGATAGAAAAATTGGACAATGTTGTCCCTCTTGCTATCTTTGCAATGGACCTGTTCTGTAGCTTTGCTGTCTGTCAGGGTGTTTCCACCAATGAGAAGCGCGAGGGGAGCAGTGTCAATGGCCCAGAGTCACAGGGACCGGAGTCTGTCTGAACAGCAAAGCTCATCGGAGATGATGGGACTTGGCTCATCATTCATGCTTTAGCGCTGCGGAGTCAGAAGACCCGAGCGTGTCAGGGTAGGCTAGGAAGCACGGGCATTGCCCGAGGCTGTGCATTTGATATTTTTGAGTACATGAGAACAGTGGCTTGAAAAAGAGTAAAAACCATAACAGAGTAGTCCCTAGAGAAGGTGTCCCACACTCGAGAGCCACCTGGAGCCGCATTTCCCACAGGCCCTGTGTGGGTGGGGTTCACAATCCGGTACCTGCTCGTGTTCCGCGCGCCTCCTCTCTTCCTCTCGGCGCATCTGCTCCTCATAGTGCCGGCGCTGCTCCCTCTCCTGCTGCTTCCTCAGCTCCTTCTCACGCCTTTGTTGCTGCGGGATGACAAGCAGACATCAGGAGAGATGCTCACTCGTGGTACTGGCATGAAACCTGCCCGATGATGGACATGAGCTCTGAAGGACAGATACCCAAAAGTTCCAAGACCTCCCCTCCTGGGATACTAGGGGTGGGGTGGGCACACTGGCAGAGAGGGGGTGAGAGCAAAAGATTCCAAGTTGTACTGACCACCTTGGCATTTACCAGGTAAGTGAACTCTCACCAAGCCACTCCTGGCTCTTACCTCTCACTGGCTAGTTGGGATTTTTCAAACCAGGCTAGAAAAGACCAGTGGTCTATTTATCACTGATCATTAATGACTCCTGAGATCATGTCACAGTACTTAGATCATTCAGTCTTTCTGATATCACCTTGCATAAACATTCCAAAGATGGAGAATTCAAGAATCAGAGAAGTGGAGTGGACATCCAGGGCCGTAGAGTGAATAGAGCTCACTGACTTCCACCCAGACCACAGCCGGGTCTCATGCCCTATGCGGCTTCTCTGTGCTCTAGTGTACTCATTTGTAAATGCCAACTTCACCTTCTCCTTCAGACAAGACCCTCATGCTGAGGTAACACCATCTCCATCTCACTTTCACCCCCTCATACAAGTGTCCTGCCAGATAATGGACCATCAATACCCACTTTATATGGCTATGTTATTTAATCCCACAAATGTCTTTGGAGGTAGACCTTACTATTATGACCACTTTATATGAGAAAATGGGGAGATTCATTGTTCAAAGTCATGTCACTGCTCAAAGTCCTCCCCAGTAAATGGCAGAGCTTGATTTCAAAGCCAGCATCCGAGCGCAATTACATGGCAGATGAAACCACAAGGAAAAAAGACAGGAAGATTCTGCATACTACTGGCTCTTCAAGCTTCTCTCAGAAAAGGAGGAGGTTTAAAGAGAACTGAGAACTAAGCCAAGGAGCTGATGGTTCTTGTGTAAGGTGGTGCCATCCTCTGTCTCTGGAACATTAGAAACTATGTAGGGGCGTGTAAAAGACTTTGTGGCTGTCCTAGTAACTGGAGCCACATGACTGACATTTAGCATGAGGGCCCAGACATGTCAAACATCCTACAACATATAGGATCGCTATGTAAAACAGCATCTTCTAGTCCTACATGTCTGGAACCATCTATTTTGAGAAATGTGGTGGGCCCTTTGTGTCAGGTCCTGTACTGGCCCCAGAATTTCTTCTTTCTCAAATAGAAGGTTCTGAGGGACCAGATTGGGGGCCACGAACAATGATATTCTCATGACACTTAACTGCACGGCTGGTCTCTGACTGTGTCCCACTTAACTGCACGGCTGGTCTCTGACTGTGTCCCACTGACAGGCCAGCTCTGCATAACCAGGGACAGAGCCAGAGCTGTCCCATAAAAGTTCTTTTCCATGGGCCCTTCAAATGCAAGGAACCTGGGGGAGGGGGAAGCCTCACTCTTCTAGCCCTTGTTGCAATCTTCCAGATGTACTGTCTACCAATGACCTCTGAATCTTAGGAGATAGGCTGTGTCTTCCAATATCCATCATTTCTAGACTGACAACCACTTATCCATCTTAGACTGTTGGCAACAAGGAGACCACCGAGGGCTTTATGCAGTCGAATGATACAACCGAGCTTGCCATTTCAAAAGGCCCCCCAACAATGGGCGGGGTCAAGAGGAGAAGCTGAAAAGCAGACTCAGTCTTTTCCCACATCTAAGCATGAGATGCTAGGGCATCAACGAACAGGAAAGGCAGGTTGGGTATCTGTCTACCCTCACTGCTGAGGAAGAAGATATAACCCAAAGGAAGAAAGATTCCAGATTTCCAGTGGCTCCAGCATGGCTGAAGCGTGTGCTAACTCAGAAGCAGAAATTACAAGCAGGCCAAAGTAAAAGGCACGATTTGGTGAGGATGGTGCACGCGAGATTGGGTGAAGCTCTTGGCCAAGCATCCTGGTGATTGTGACAGAGAGAAAGCAGGAAAAGCAGGGTATGTTGGACCCAGACAAACGGTTATTTGTTTTGCAAAAATAATTCAAGAGAACACAGGAGAAAACATTATCAGAGGAACCGAATGAATAATTTGGATTACAGACCCAAAGCTGAGACATGTCCAACACTCAACCAAAGTGAATCAGTGCCTGAACAGAGGACCGGATAATTATGTGTACAAATCTGGCCCCTGGCAGGAAATAACCCTAATTTAACTAACATTTTGAGTTTGGTACTTAACCATCAGTCTCTTTCTTGAAGAAAAAAAATAATCAAGGCTTTTGAAAATTTAGCTGATTTTTATGTGGAAGATTTGTACATTTTCAGTCCCTCTGCCAGGAATCAATACTGCCTTATAATTACATGCTACTCAGGTCCCCCCACAAGGTGCACACAATATTGATTACAACCGAAGAGGGTATGGGCTTCCCAAGCACTCTGTAGTTTCTGAGACAGACAATCAGGAGTGACTAATAATTAACAATGATCTCACTTGGATCAGCCACTGCTCACATACTGAGGCATCTGCCAGGGCTTTAGTTCCTGTGGTGAAGTTGGAAAAATAAATTACCTCCCCAACCTTCTGAGGGCACCCTGCCAGTTTCTAGCTGCTGTATCTCAAGGTTGATGCCTTTCCTGGAAAGATGTTTATTCTCTCCTCCTAGGCTTGGGGCTGTTAGAGGCAGCAAATGAAAACATGTCAAAGAAAGACCTGGCTTCAAGGAGACAAAGCCTTTGGTGGTTCTTGCTAGAGACATCTCTAGCTGTCTTTGAGGATAAGGCACATGTTCGATTCTTACTTAGCTCTCAATCTCTCCCACAGGGCCTGGTACCTGGCAGTTGGTTGAGACGGGCATAGAGTTATACGGCTGTAATTTCAGCACTTGGGAGGCGGAGGCAGGATTGTTATATGTTTAAGACCAGTTAGGACTATATAGTGAGACCCTGGTCTCAAAAAAGAAAAAAGTGTATTGTACTGAACAGAGTAAGAAACTTGAGGCAAAAGAAAACACTAACACAGAATTTTCTTTGAAGGATTTTATAGTATTTTCTTCCTGTCAAAACTAATGACTGAATTTTGTGTAATTTTTTTTCTATGTATATCTATATTAGTCACTTTTCTATTGCTGTGGTAGAAACACCATGACCAAGGGAACTTATAAAAGGAAGAGTTTATTTAGTTTACAGTTCCAAACGGGCAAGAGTCAGTCCATCTTGGTGGGTAGGCATGGTGGCAGAAGTGCCTGGAGAAGGAGCAGAAGCTAAGCTCTTATAACTTCAAGCAGGCACAGGAAGCAAGAGCAGGACTGGGGAATCCAGCAAGTATTCCCCCACCCAGTGACATGCTTCATCCAGTATGGCTACACCTTCTAAGACCTCCCAAAACAGTGCCACCAACTGGGGACAAAAAGTCCAAACACTTGGAGCCTATGGGGAACATTCTCAATCAAACTGCCATAAGTCTTACCAATTTTGCGAGCTAGATTGAAAGACCTTTGTGGGTCTTTACTGAATTCCAGGTTTTACCTCTCATTGTTTTTCACATACTTTGTGTCGCCAGTGGTGTTTCACTGAATACTGCAGACCAGAAAAACAAGCCAACAGGTGTGTGCTGGTTGGTTTAACTGTGAACTTGACACAACCTAGAATCACTTGGGAAAAGTTTCATTTTAGGAACTGTCTAGATCAGGTTAGCCTGTGGGCATGTCTGTAGGGGATTGCCTTGATTGTTGATTGATAGGGAAGGACACAGCCCACTGTGGGTGGCACCATTTCATGGACTGGGCTTCAAACTATAGAAGAGTGCAGAAAGCTAGCTGAAAGCAGGCAGGCAGCATGGGCAGGTGCACTCTCTTCACTCTCCTCCTGACCGTAGATGTGACCAGCTGTTTGAGTTCTTGCTTTGACCTCCCCATAGTAATGGACGCAACCTGGAATTGTGAGCCAGATAAACCCCGTCTTCCCAAAGTGGCTTCTTGGTCAGTGTGTTTATCACAGCAACAGAAACGCAACTAGGACAGGTCTGAAGCTGAGACCAGATCTTTGCCCTTCTAAGGCAACCTTTATAGACCAGAATGTTCTTTTCCAGAGAGCATTTACAGCGACTGAGAATATTCTAAAATAACAGGCACCTACAATGGGCCCTGGCATTGTATCTATTCGTCATCTTGAAGAAAAGTATGAAAATAAAACAAGGGAGACAAAAACCTAAGCTGAAAACAATGGGGAACGTGGAGGCTCATGCAGTATTCTTAGATTGCATTTGAATTCTGCATGATGACTATTGTGGTCCTGCTCCTGAAAAGAATGGCTTCAACCAACTACACACCAGCTTCTGGCAGATCTTCCACCCATGGGGAATGCCCTAGAACTATTTTCATCCATAGCTTATTGGAGGCATTGTCCACAGTTGTATCCCTTAAAACTAGACACTTAGGGCTGGGCATTGTGGCTCACGCCTGTAATCCCAGCACTCGGGAGGCAGAGGCAGGCGGAGCTCTGTGAGTTCAAGGCCAGCCTGGTCTACATAGTGAGTTCCAGGACAGCTGGGGCTACAAAAAGACCCTGTCTCAAAAAGACACCCCCCCCAAAAAAAAATTAGACACTTAGTTGGCTCTTAAAAGTGTCTCAACTTTTTTGGCCTGTTTGGGGAATGAATGACTGCACCTGCCCTATGAATTTTTCACATTTTCATTGTTGCTGTGTTATGTAGCACAGGTCAGTGGGGCCCTCTAGCACCTTTTATCTCCTATGGTATTCACTAATGAGAGTGGGGAGCTTGTGTTCAGTCTGCTGTGCTGAAACACCTGACAAAAGCAACCTAAGGAAGGAAAGGTTTTTGGGGGCGGTCAAAGTTGGAGGGTACAGTCCATCATGGTGGGGAAGGCACAGTGGCAGGAATGAGAGGCAGCTGCTCTCCACAGTCAGAAGCAGAATGCCCCTTTGCTCACTCTGGGACCCCAGGCAAGGTTATAGTGTCACCCACAGTCAAACGGTCTTCTCTCCTCAG